ATCCACGGTGTCAGGTATACACTGGGGGTCAGAGAATATATACCCCCAAAGATGATGGGGAGAGGCAACTGTACTTCATGTAGAACTCAAACATACAAAGTTCTTTCCAGTGGCAGGAAATAGAACATGGATAGAAGTCATTCTATCTCATCTTTATTGCAAAATTAAGACAGAAAAGAGGGAAATGGAAAATTACTTTCAACAGTGAAACACTAATGTAAGCAAGGATATGGAAATATAAAATGTTAGAATTGGAAGGTCCTTACATTTGAGCTACATTAACCACCCCATTTTACAGATAAGAAAACTGAGTCCAAGGAAAGTAACCTCATGTGGTTTGCAAACAGGGTGAACAAGGAGGGAACTTCTGCATTGGAGCCCTTCCTCTCACATTTCCAGTGGTTTCTACCTCTAACAACTAGATTTCAATTGCTCTCAATCACCTCCAGGGAAGCAGGTTTTGACTGTGTAGTTTAGAACAATTGGTACTTAGCAGCTCAGTGTGACTTGATGAAAATTACTTAATCTCTTAGGTCTCAGTTTACCCCCTGAGAGGAAGGGTTATTATAGTCTTTTACTCAGTAATCAGAGCCTAGAAGGTCCAGAAGCATCTGTACCTCGTAAGAGTGACTTTGGATAATGTTCTCATCTTGCTATATAATTTACTGATTTCAGATCTGCATTTCAAAGTATTTTATTGTGAAGGTATATAACCTGTGTATTAATGGGCATAGGGACCAGAGACAATAGGAGAGGAGGGGCGAAGAGGAGGGCCCTATCTTCAGGACACTCTTTGTTTTGCCATTTTTACACAGCACCATTGTAAGGCTAAAACTCTGGCCTGAAGGAGTTAAGGTGCCTACCCTCCTCATTCAGTCTACTCTGTCTGGCAGAATTGTTACTTGCTCATCCAGTATGCTTTTGAACTTGCTTGCTCCACTTATCTGTATGGCTCACTCCTGTACCTCACCAAGGTCTTTGTTATAAGTCACCTTCTCAATAAAGAAGGCAGCAACTCCTCCCTGCATCCCACTCCCCTTTCCAACTCTTTCTGGGTACCAGTTGGTACAGGCTGAGAAGTGATCCTCTTACAAACTGCTCCAGGTAATTTTGCATCCACGATATGTGTCCAGCATGAATCAACAAAGACTGTGCTCCATAGTTTCTCAGAGTTTGTAAAGGGGTTGTGCTCTGAAAAAGCCATCCCAGAAATGGCACACCCCACTCTGTTTACATTTCACTTCATCACAAATAAGATGGCCAGACACAGCCCCAACAGGGTGTAAGGGAGATGCAATTCTACCACATATACGCAGAGAGGGCTGTTTGGTGAATAGGACCAATGACCACCATAATCTGTATCTAGCTGCCAAATATTTTCTCTCTCCTTCGTCAGGGAAGATTCAGCCTATCCTTCTTCAAATGAAGCATCCCAAAAGGTCCACCTGGTCCCAGCCTCAAGCTCAAGATTATTTGTATGTGTGCTGGCATCCACATTAATTCACATGGTTTTCCTTTGTCCACTGACTCCTAAACAAAAAGTAAAGCTATTTGACCTATCCGCACATGTGTAGTATATCTGCAGTGATGGAGAAGAGCCAGGAAAATCACAGTCAACTCACTGGTTTGCAGAAATTCTGAGACCCCACTGGACAGATCCTGAGCAGGCTCTGTTCCTTGGGAAGAAAGCATCTCCTTTAATTAAACTAATTCTGCTCCCAGAGTATGGCTCCAAAGGACTCCATTGTTCAAGAGTTTATTATTTTTCCACTAACTGCATTGGTCATGGGAAAGTGGGTATTGGAGAAGAAGTCCCCATTAAGGTCTAATTAGCTTTTCCAGATCACAATCTGCTCTTTATAGATAGTAATGCAAAAGTAATCTTAGTTTCAAATAGTCACAGATGTCTTTTCCTGACTTGATGGTCCTTTGGCAGTAGAGCTCTCTAAAACCTAGCCAGCTTCTTACCTATTAAGAGAGTTTCAAATGTGCATAGCCACATTCACAGAACTTTTGTCAACGCAATTCTAGGGTCCATTAAGTGTCTTGGCTTTCCCATGTCACTGCCTCTCCCACCCTTTTACTTTCAAATGAACTCTTACTCCTCCTTTTAAATTAAGTACAAGTGCCTTGGCTATATCAGCCTTCAGTGGAAGAGTTAGACCTTGGTCTCTTATCCTGAAACCATATACAATTAAAGATTTTATAGGGTGGCAACTTAACCCATTTACCAATTTTTAGCAGTGGTCTGATTATTTCTGCAAAGCTGAGCTTCAATAGGCTTTTAACTCTCAAGGGATTTCTTGATATGATTTACTGATGGAGATGAGGAGCAGTTGCCTTTTCTAACCCTATAAGAACTTGTATGTGATTTATCTTTCTTTTCTCTTTCATAACTACTTTCCAACTGGCCAATTACCTTCTGAGATAATTTCTTTCTTATGTAAACTTACCAAGCACAGTCAATAGCAGCCAACACATTCTAATTAATGTTCCTTTTCCAACCATTGTTCAAAGAGCTCTGTACTCATTAGACATGCTCTGCCTTATTGCAGGTGTCAACTTTACCAAACATTTTACCCATGTGTGACATGAGCAACCTTGCTTCCAGTCCTAAGCCAACACTACATGTTATATATTTGTTATAGCACTCTTTTTCAAAGTACTGATTTTATTTTTATTGAGATAAAATTGACATTTAACATAATATCAGTTTCAGTTATACAAATAATGATTTGATTTACATATATATTGCAAAATGGTCACCACAATAAATCCAATTAGAAATATATTTTTCTTGTGATGAGAGCTTTTACAATCTACTCTTAGTGACTTTTGATTATGCAATACAGTATTGTCAACTATAGTCACAATGCTGCACATTGCACCCCTGGGATTTATTCATCTAATAATGGGAAGTTTGTACATTTTGATTCCCCTCACTGCTTCTCCCACTTCTCAGTCTCCACCCCTGGAATCCACTAGTCTGTTCTCTGTATCCATGACTTCAGTTTTTTGTTTTGTTTTGTTTTAGTTTCCACATATAAGTGAGATCATAGGTATTTGTCTTTCTTTTTCTGACTTATTTTACTTGTTTCAGCACTGTTTGAAACCCATACTTATTTATTTATTTTTGAAGTTTTTTAAATTATTTTTTTAGAAAGAGAGAGCACACATGCATGAGTGAAGGAAGGAGGAGAGAGAGAGAGAGGGAGAGAATCCCAATAGACTCCTCACTTGCTGAGAGCCCAATGTGGGACTCTATCACAGGACCCTAAGATCATGACCTGAGCTAAAAACAAGAGTTGGACACTTAACTGACTGACTTTTGGTGTTCCAAACCCATTTTAAAATTAGTCAGTATACAACAGGAAATAACACATACACATGCGGGCACACACACACGCACACACACATACACACAAACTTCCTCTTGTTTCTCTCTCTGTGTGCATTTCCAAGTTTAGAGTCTGTTAATGAGAGATGTGCAAAGTTCCAGAAGGCGATAATGACACAGAGGTTATTATTCCCCAGAGGCATGTTTAGGCAGGCAAATGGACAGAGGGGAGGACTTGCACTGGGTCCGTCTGGATGTTGAGAGTTCATTCAGCCCTGAAAGTTCCCACAATAACCTGCCCCTCGCTTTGTTCCCCTAGCTGTTCAAATGCTTAAGCAAGACTCAAATTCCCTATACATAATTCTTTCTACATTAAAAACTTGGATGCTTTTTATCTTTTCTAGCTGGAATCCTAACCAAATTCATTTTTCTGGTTGCTATATGTGACCATCAAACTCGTGCTGTTTTGTTTTTGTTTTGTTTTGTTTTGTTTTGTTTTAACCTTAACTGAATGTTTAATTCCCAGACTAAAATATAAGCTCCATGAAGGGAGATAATTTTCTTGTCGGCACAGTACTCGGTCTTCAGTGATTTGCAGGTCATGGCATATGCACTGCAGCAAAGAGATGATGAATGAATGGATTCATTAATAACAAACAGGATCTGGTCAGTTGAATTAACTACCTCAGAAAGGTTCTTTAACTGGAAACTCAGTGGAAAGAATAAATGTGGGATTTGTTTAGAATTACTAAACCCACACTCTGTAAGAGTAATTCATTATTATATCTAATATGTAAATGAAATGAAAGAAATAAGAATCTCTAACAGTCTGCTTCTAGATCCTCTTTACTATGGACCTAATTGATGATAATCCTTTAAACTGTGCTTAGGGGAATGGTCTTTGGGATGGTACAGTCTCGGGACATTTCTTTAGGTCTCATGGTGAAATTGGTCCTATTCCACATCTAATGGTTGCAGCAAAGTCTTATTCTGTTCTGGGAATACCAAAATGTTTCTAGTTACAGAGGTCCTGTGAGCCTCACCAGCCTTCTGTTGAATTAGCAGTTGGTGTGGGTGTCTGTCACCTTTATAATTCTTTGTTGTTGCCTGTTTCTTACTTTTCTTTTTGATTTGAGTGTGTGGTTCAATAAGACTTTAAAGTGAAAATGATAATTCTTATATAAGCTAATACTGTATGGATCTATGCCAGACACTAAGGGTTTTTCATTTAATCATCTCCTTTCTTCTTTATAACCCATTTAGGATGTGGGCATTCCACCCATTTTACAGATTAGAATGAGGCTTCAATAGGTCATATTACCTGTTAAAGCTTGGACTTGTGAATGCAGAGAGATCTGATTCTGGGCTTTCAATTATAGTCTACTACCACTAGCCCCTTATCACATTTTATATGTTTATTATCATTTAAGACTTACAGAATATTTTGTACATATCTTATCACATAATAATATCACTAATAATACTGGTTATCATTTGTTAAAATGTTTACCATGTTGAGCAAGGCACTATACTGAGAGCTAACAGAAAGGGATGTGGGGGATAAGGGTGTAAACATGAAGGAAAGCCAAACTTTTGACGAAAACAAAGCATACAGAAAATTCATTAATAGAACCACTTTGCCTCTCCTTTTGCTCTGTTTCAGGAATATCAAATTGACATATTTTTTGCTCAGACCTGGACAGACAGTCGCCTTCGATTCAACAGTACAATGAAAATACTCACTCTGAACAGCAACATGGTGGGATTAATATGGATTCCAGATACAATCTTCCGTAATTCTAAAACTGCAGAAGCTCACTGGATCACCACCCCCAATCAGCTCCTCAGAATTTGGAATGATGGGAAAATCCTTTATACTTTAAGGTGAGATGTTGGTGGATTTTTAATCACTGACTGGTTGATAATTTAGATCATTGTAGAGATGGGACCCTATTTTCATTGTTGCATTCTATCACTTCTCATGTTCGACAGGCTACAGGATCCTGAAAAAGTTTGTTCCAATGTCACTATATGTGAAAATAAAGAATAAAGGCATACAAATGATCTTCAATGAATATAAACTGATTCCTTCATCAGAATCCATGTCTGTTGGAAGTGGGCTGTGGAATTTTCTTTAATATATTTAACCCATGGGTTAAATATATTTAAGGCTAGAAAAATAAAGATGTCTTGGTGTATTAATTAACAAATGTAATCATAACCAAATTTAAGACCACAGGAAAAAAAGAGCACAGAGGACATTTCCCAGTACATCCTTAATGGAAGTGGCAGCTACAGTGTAATGAGTCTTCCTGGGGGCCAGGCAGCCCTTACAAAGCTGGGCAAGGTAAGAGAAACTGCACTTCAAAGACGTGAATTGACTTGCTTGTCCAAAGTCACCATTGAAAACTAGTGTTATCAGAATTTGTGCCCGTGTCTATATCTCTCAGAAGTCTTTCCACAAGGCTGGCCCAAGTCTAAGTGAACACCAAGCTGCAACATACCAGAGGGATACCCTGCACCTTGGGCAGCTTTTCTGTTTGCCTAGAGTTAGGATCAGGGTAGTATCCTCCAGACACTGTTGTCCCCACTGCCCATGATCTCTTAGGAGCACTATATGTGCTCACTCTCTTCTATCACTTTCTTTCACCACCTTTGCAGCACCATGGCTCCTCTCTCTGTCTCCTGCTCCTGCTTTTGTGAAGCCTTCTCCTTCTGTTCTTTCTGCCTCAGGACTTCCTCATTACTTCACTCACTTTTCTCTCTCCTGCTGGCTTAACTAATCCATTTCCACATCTATTCTGAGGTTTCCCACATGCCTACCTCCAACCCAGAACTTCGTGTCTATAGTCCAGATGCTTGGAGCCTCCTGCCTATGGGATGTCTCCTCCTGAGTGTCGGAAAGGCATTGTAAATTCTGCATGCCTCAGGAGAAGGTGACTTGTCTAACTCTTCTGACCCATTTATCTTCTTGGCTCAGTGAAGCCCACCACCAGCCCCTGGGCATTTCTCTTCTCTCACCCCCACATTTAGTAAATGAGCTCTTAATTGCAGGTGAGTTGTGACCATGTGAAGTCTATAACTCAGAATGGTAAACAAGTATCCACATCACAAACAAAAGTACAGATTAAAACCAAAAGAAGTGGAAGATTGGAGAATTTCAACTTTCAGGGAAATAATTTTGGCAGGCGGGGAACAACAACAACAAATCCACAGCAGGTAGCTCAGCTGATGGATTATATTTAGAGAGTTGGAGTCTGTAACAGGTTTTTCCACATTAGTCTTAAAGGAGTGCAGAGGAGACTCTGAAGTGAAGGTGAGCCTCAGCAAACCAGATTGGGGACATCACCTATACTGGGATCCTTCATAGGAACTCGGGCCCCAGGGCTGTCTGTTCTTTTTTTTTTTTTTTTTTTTAAAAATTTTTTTTTTTTTTTTTTTAGAGAGGGAGAGAGGGGGAGAGAGCAAGCACAGGCAGACAGAATGGCAGGCAGAGGCAGAGGGAGAAGCAGGCTCCCTGATGAGCAAGGAGCCCGATGTGGGACTTGATCCCAGGACACTGGGATCATGACCTGAGCCGAAGGCAGCTGCTTAACCAACTGAGCCACCCAGGCGTCCCCGGGCTGTCTGTTCTTGAAGGATGCAATGCACACGCTTATATAGCCACCACCTGCATAGTCTAATGAGAGTGTTGTCCAAATATGAAGTCCCTTCTACAAGTGGATTAGTTTGGCATTATACCTATTTAGAGAAATATACTAGTTTGAAAATGGAAGGTTTTAATTTAGTCAAACATATTGAAGACAAAGACATACACAATAATATTTGTTTTTATTTGTCTTCTCTCTGACTTGGGTTTTATTTCTAGACATAGTTTGGAATTTTTAGTAACTGAAATTCTCTCTGCTACCAATAATTAAAAACAGAACAAAATAACACAAAAGCCACTAAATGGTTATCCCTGAATGGCACCAATGCCGAGAGTGAGTTAAGTGCACTGCTCTCACTCCCCAGTTGTGGTAAAAGGTGACTGATCCTTAGCTTTGACCTGGGACTTTTCTGGGTTGCTCCTGGCTGACCTCAAGAGTGACCCTTGGCTCTCCTGCAGGCTCACTATAAATGCAGAATGCCAGCTGCAGCTGCACAACTTTCCCATGGATGAGCACTCCTGCCCGTTGATTTTCTCCAGCTGTGAGTACCAACTTGGGGTATAAATGCTGTGTAAAGGAATGTCTATCTAATGTTGATTTATGGCAGATGGTCATGAGATTGATTATAGCATCATTACATGACAGAAAAAATAGATAATGATTTTGGTATTAGACACATGGGTGTTTTCACTCTTGTGTAGGACATATGCTACAGAATAGGTAACTTTGGAAAAGCTGTGAGCAACTTGACCATTACTTATAATGATGAAAGTGTCAGAAATTGGTGAACAGTTGACTTACAAATAACCTTTATGCTAATGAGCTGTGCATATTATTCTGAAGTATACAAAATTCATTTGTGATATTTTTGGGTTTAATATTATCTTCAAGCAAGGCATTTTGTCTTCTGAATAGAAAGATAAAAATTTATTTAAATATATTTACATTTGTTTTATTGTAGTACTGTAGAATTTAATTTTTCACTATTTTATTTTCTAATATCTTACATATGATTAATATTAGCTAACAAACTAAATTCTTCAAGACAATTCTAGTGCATACAAGGATATATAAAAAAGGAAATATCAAATTTATATGTTTATTTATAAAATAACGTTTTAAGTAAAGCTCAATAGGGAAATATATCTGTAGAATTTAGGAAGTTCCTTTTAAATGTGTTGATCACAAGTAGCTAAGTATGACTCATAAGAATTTAATTAACTTTTTGGCTCTCTATAAAATTGCATATAGAGCTTGACAAACAAATGTGATGAAATCTCAAGCAGAGCTTTTGTGGCTTCCCTCGCTGGACATTAAAGTGAGAAGACAAAAATGAAATAAGAGATGAACACACTTTACAGTTCATTTTAGGCAGAGAAAAAGACAAGGTAGAAAGAAAAATTTCACCGATCTACACTGGGCAAAAATATTCTTTTGCAGAGATTAGTTTAATTAGTTGAATCCCAATTTAAAATAATTTTCCCCCAAATCATTATATATGTTAATAACACATATTTTTAATGCTTAACAAGTAGATGGCTAATGTCTGTGAATGTCTGGTAAACTTGCCTGTAGATTTATTTAGGCCTGCTATTCTCTATTTATTTAATTAACTTTGAAAATTATGGAACCATTCAAATAGTCTATTTCTTTGTGAGTTAGTTTGGTATATATGTATATAATTTTCCTAGTAATTTGTCCACTTCACTATTTACCAATGTTCTCAGTGAACCCAATTTAGCTATGTAGACCCTTCCAATGCTCTGATATGTTATTAATTCATCTATTTACTTTATAACTTTAATGGTTGTTTCTCATTATTTTAGACATCCTATATTTTGCTTTTTTTCTAGTTCTTTATGCAATTTGACAACATCTTATTTCTTCACTAAATTTTTAATGTCATCTTCCATTTATTTAAATTTCCAAAACTTTCTGATATCTTTGTGGGAGCAACTTGCAGACTTTGTTGTTTTGTTTTACTCAGTTACATGGTAATTCATTTACTTTTCTGTTCAATAAGTAATTTTTCGTTTGAGCTCATGTTTCTTGTAATTTTTTTCTGTAGGATTTCTTTGGGGCTTACATTTAAAACGGGTTTTTCTAAGGAAGTTTTGCTCTGGTTCTGCCTGGTGTCTCTATAACTTTAAAGTTTAAACCTGGATTCCTAGGCTACAGAGTTGGTATGAATTCTAGCTACATATCTGTGATTTCAGGTTGTGATTTTACATTCCTGGAAGGAATTTTTTGCTTTTCTATTGTTCCCAAAGCCAAGTCAGGACAGGGAATCTACTTTTAGGGGGAGTTTCTCCTGAGTCCACAAGCTGAGGAACCCAGTGTCTATCAACAGATGTGTGGATAAGCAACCAGTGTCTATCAACAGATGCATGGATAAGCAAAAAGTGGGAGAAAGGATAAAAGATCATGATCCTACTATATATTGTCTATATGAGACACAATTTAGATTCAAAGACAAATCATTTGGAAGTGAAATTATGAAATAAGATATATAATGCAAGTAGTGACCAAAAGAGAGTTGGATTAGTTATATTAGTATAAAACAATAACAGATATTAAAGAAAATGTTATTAAAGACAAAGAAGCACATTTAATAATAATAAAATGTATCAGCACATCAAGAAATACACAGTAATAATAAACAGGCATAATGTTCTAATAATATAACATTAAAATACATAAAGTAAAATTAAAATTTAAGTAAAAATTGACCTATCTGGAGGGAAAAACAGACAACTCAGCAATAATAGTTAGATATTTTAATAACCCACTTTCAAAAATGGAGAGAAAAAACTGTAAATAGGAGGTCTACCAGGGAAACAGAAGACCTGAATAGTACTTTAAAGCAACCAGATCTAGTAGTATATATAGAGTAGTCCACTGAACAACAACAGAATATATGTTGTTCTTAAGTGCACAGGAGGCTTTGTGCAAAATAAGCCTTATATTAGGTAATGAAGTAAGTCAATAAATTTCAATGGATTAATGAAGATTATAGGATACAAGAGCAATATACAAACAACATTTGTATTTCTATAAATTATAAAATGAAACCTTGAAGAAGAAAGTAAGAAAACAATTAATGTACTAAAGTATCAAAAAGAATATAATACTTAAGAGTGAATTTAGCAAAATAAGTGCAAGAGTTGTATGTTGAGAACTACAGAAATGTTGAAAGAAAAGAAAGAAAATCTAAACAAATGTAAAGGCATTCTATGTTCATGAACTGAAACTTAGTGTTTTTAAGGTGGTAATGCTTTTCAAAATAATCTATAGATTCAGTGCAATACTTATCAAAACCTCAGCTGGCTCTTTTCCTCTGAAATTGACGAATTGATTCTAAAATTTATGGGGCAATTAAATAAATCTAGAATAGCTAAAACAATCTTGAAAGAAGAACAAATTTAGAGAGCTCACACTTCTGATTTCAAAACTTACTACTAAGGTACAATAATGAAGATAGTGTGGTGTGGTGCTGCTATAAAGATAGATATACAGATATACTCAAATCCCATCAACTGATGAACAGATAAAATTTGATATGCTAGGGGCAAACTGATGAAATCTGAAAAAAGAAGACTGGACAATAGTGTACCAATTTTGACTCATTAATTGTGGCAAATGTACATATTAGTGTGGCAAATGTACATTATAGTGTAATAATAGGGGAAACTAGGTGTAGTGTGTTGGGAACTACCTGTAGTATCCTTATATTTTTTTCCATAAGTTTAAACCTATTTTAAATTTCAACAAAGGAAACAGTAGACAAAACCAAAAGACAATCTATAGGATGCGAGAAGATATTTGCAAATGTCTTATCAGATAAAAGGCTAATGTCCAAAATCTATTTTTTTTAAAAAAACAACTTATTACACTGTTGCTGGGAATGCAATCTGGTACAGCCACTTTAGAAAACAGTATGGAGTTTCCTCAAGAAGTTAAAAATAGGGCTACCTTATGACCCAGCAATTGTACTCCTGGGTGTTTACCTCAGAGATACAGATATAGTGAAAAGAAGGCCATATGCACCCCAAAGTTCATAACAGCAATGTCCACAATAGCCAAACTGTGGAAGGAGTCAAGATGCCTTTCAACAGATGAATGGATAAAGAAGAAGTGGTTCATATATACAATAGAATATTACTCAGCCGTGAGAAAGGACAAATACCCACAATTCACATTAACATGGATGGAACTGAAGGAGATTATGCTTAGTGAAATAAATCAAGAAGAGAAAGACAATTATCATATGGTTTCACCCACATGTGGAACATAAGGAACAGCATGGAGGACATGAGGGGAATGAAGGGAAAACTGAAGGGGAGGCATCAGAAAGGGAGGAGAACCATGACAGCATGAGAAACTGGACTCCAGGAAACAATCTGAGGGTTTCAGAAGGGATGGGGTAGGGGGATGGGTTAGCTCAGTGATGGGTATTAAAGGAGGAAATGTATTGTAATGAGTGCTGTGTGTTACATGCAAATAATGAATCATGGAGCACTACGTCAAAAACAAATGATGTACTTTATGGTGACTAACATAACATAATAAAAAATATTTATAATCTTAAAAAAAAAAACTTAACAAACTTAACACCCCCAAAATCTTTACTTCATAAAGATAGAAATATGAGTAATCATACTGAGGTGGCATTATAGGCCCAATTCCTAAATATAATTGGTCCAAATTGCTGATAAATTAATATTTTAAGGGCTTAAGTGAAATAATAAGGTGAAAAATGACAAATAAAGATCCTATGCCTCTTCCTTCACTTCAGTGAAACAAACTTCTGAATTATTAGAAATTTCTGGAAACCCTGAGCCAGAAGTTCCAGCTTAGAGATCTCAGTGATAAACAGTCTTTTACAATGGTTCTTACATATTTTGGGGTCACATTCCACTTTGAGATTCTGGACAAAACTATGGTCCTTTATTTATACACTCAGAAAATTTAATAGGGTATTTTGAATCTATCAGCTACATAATTTGTAGTTCAAAGTTTAAAAACTCCTTATCTAGTCCCTCTTGCTCATGTGTAGATGAGGAAACAGAAACAGATGCTGTCACTGTCCAAGGTTAAGGGATTAGAAATGGGATCCTCTGACTTCTGGAAAGTGCTTCTTCCATGGTATTAAACCAATTACTATTTAGTCTGCCTCAAAAATGACCTTGAACTTGTTCACTGTTAACTGTTTCTACCTCTTGGGGTTTCCACTCCCACTCTTGTATTTCAAGTTCATTATATACATATATCCTGGCATTGACTTACTAAA